CTGACAAAAGTGGTGACTGCGGTCAAGTTTCAACATTGTTTGGATTTGATCAACATTGTTGAACACTAAAGATTGAAGATGAAGACACAACCAAAATTTGTTATTGAGAGAAAATTGAAGATGTGGAATTTTGCCAAGGTGGAGATTTGTTGAAATTGTCAAAAGTCCCACATCGGTGGATGACAATTTTGAATGGGAATTTCACCCTATAAAAGGAGGCCTAATGTTTAGGATTTAAACACACCTCTCATTTGCCCTTTTATCTTCTTAAGGCATTTGTATCTTCTCTTTTTAGTATTATTTCACTTGTAATTTTGGAGTGGAATAAAATATTGATTGTGTCCGAGGAAGTAGGCAAAATTGGCCGAACCTCATAAATTCTGGTGTTCTTTTATTGTTGTCTTATTGTCTTGTTTAATATTTAGTGGTTGTCATAATTTTTGGTATAGTAATTGTGACTCATTCACACTATATACATTTGGCTTCCGCAACATCATCGTCCTCTGTATCATCGTCAACCGAGGACATCCTCAACCGCGACAAATACCGTGCTTGTTTGGTTTGTCAATGGCTCATGGTGCCCTCTAAAATAGTCGCACATACCATTATCCTACAAAATATAACAAATAATTTTCGGTGATTGAATAAAAGCACGTATCCTATATAACTTCAAAACACAAAATTTACTCACATTTGACACTTTACAACCCCAAAATCTTCGATCGGGATTTTTAGGAGCTGTTGAAGTCTTCAACCTACAGTATTTGCCACAAAAGCAAACAGTGGGTTTGATGGATAACAAAACAAAAAATATTGAACTTTAGGACGCCTACGACATCACTAATCTAAACGAGGAAGCTAAAGAAGAGAGAAAATAGAAGAGGATGTTGAAGAACATAGGCAGAATGGTCTCCAAAGGCTATTTTATGCTCCAGATTTGTATAGTGCATGGTATGCATGCACTACACTAAGTCAAACCTGACTAGACGTCCATTCAGCTGGAATGTTAGTTACTACGGTTCTTTGTATTTTCTTATTAGTGTTCTTTAATTTTGCAGATTTGTTACCTTACTTTGGTTCCGGCCTCAAGTTATCAACTTGCTAGTGACACCTTGCACACTTTTGTTAACTTGTATACCACTTCAACTATTTATACAATTTCTTATATATGTATGCGTAGTCTCACTAAAGTTTTCAGGTGGCATGCTATTTGAGTCTATCTGTCATTTCAATATTGTTCATTATTACTTTAAGTACATTGATATAAGCCTCGCTCTGTAATTAACCGTAGAGAATATTTTAGGCTTTATAATAGCTATTTAGCAATGACTATCAATAATTTTTGTATTGTGGTTCACTTAGGTGTGGTTGTCAGATTAATGGAAGGGGACAAGCATGAAATTAGGAGTTCAATATTCAAATTCTCCTATTTTTAAGTTTGTTTGGTAGGATTTTGGCTATCCATTGCTAATTTTTTGAGTTTTAGTTGCTAAGCCTAATCTTTAGCTAAAATCGTGCAAATAGTTGTTAGGAATGGTATATACATGCCAATTTTCCATAAATAAAATTAAAATAGAACTCTGATGCTCCAATTCCGGGGGTGGGGATAATGCAAACTATTTCTCTTTGCAAGAGTTCTTTTCACATAATTGCAAGAATTTTTCCTTTCACAATTTTTGCAAGAATCACTACATTTATACACAGATATTTCATTTTGTTAAAACAATTTTCTGTCCGCAAATGTCATCCAAAAAAAACAAATCAAAAACTAGGTAACGAAATTGATATCATCCTCCTCCACACAACCATTTTGAAAGTGTGGTAATACGAATTTGTTTCATGCTCTTAAGATCTCAAGGATAGAAAAGTTTGGCGAATAAAAGCTCATTCCAAGTATCTTGAAGACCAGGCAAACACCAATGCACACAATCAGCGTAGCTTACTGGATTTGCCAATTGCTCTGTTGTTAATGGATTCCATTGTTTCTTGTAAATTGAAGTGTGAGCATCTTTTCTGTAACTTGAGAGCTGTGTGATGTTGAGAAATGTAATGGGTACCTTTGTTTTACGAAACACTTCTCCAATCACTTGCATTATACTTTTTCTGCTATCTGATCCCCAGTAAGTTGGGTCCTCTATAATTTTTGTTTCATTGTAACAGTTCTTATTCGGTTCTCCTCCCCAATCTATGCTCCTGCAAAAATAAAAGTTAACTACTACATACTGTTATTTCCCAATATTAATATGACAAAAAAAAAAAATCAACAAAAATTGAAGATTATTACTTTTGATGAGAAGGTGACATGCTAGTGAAAAAGACTCTGGTTTTCTTTGGATCCATGTTCTTTTTCACCCATCTCAGCATACTCTTCATTCCCATTCGATATGCATCCTCTGTTGATACTATCGCTATATCCTTCACCTCATCCTCAAAAGACCCTTGCCTGTTTCAATATCATTTAGCCCTTCGCAAACAGAAAAATCTAAATAGAAGAAATTTTACACTATCAATATATTTTGATAGATCATAGAAATTTATGTACTTAATTTTTAAAATTACCAAATTAGTCTTACTGGAGAAAATTGCATGATGTTGTAGTTTACTTTGATCTAATGTTACAAAACCTTTTTATAGTGCCAGGTAAGGCAGATGTGTTAAACTTTATTTGTAAAAAGAATAAGAGAGGGAAAGATAATTACAAAATGTTAAATTCTAGGCCGGTCATCCACCAAAGATAAGTATTGAAAACGACTATATCAGCCCCTTTCCAATTCTTTCCGTGCTTATTTATTGAACCTTTCCTCACAACTCTATCAGATATTCTATGTACCACTGCATCATCAGCATTTGATTCCAGCAAAAATGGTGCCCAGTAGAACTCAATCGTCGCGTTGTAATCCTGCAATATTAATTAAATTTAAGCTAAAGCAACATTTATTAAGTTGACGTATAGAGTCATAGAATTGTGCTATATATGCAACTTTAAAATGATCACCTTGGCTGTGAAGACAGAGAGGGAGCCAAAAGTTTCCATGGACTTAGCATTCTCAGGAATGAGTCTGTGGAGAAGACAAACCATTGAAATATATTGTCCTCTGTTTAAGGAATCTCCCACGTATAGCATCCTCTTTCCTCGAAGAGTTTCCAGCATTAGTGTCGCATTGAAACTGCAATTGTCTCAGAAAACAGAGAATTAAAATTATTAAATTTCCATGCAATTATAGTGTGAAAATGATTAAAGAAAAATAAAATGGTCTCCCGCGTTCTAGCAGGTAATTAAGAGTTGTTGAACTACACATAATAAACCAACATTATCAAATATGGACGAAGAGTAAAATGTAGTCAACCAGTTTAATAAGATTAGTGAATGAATCATTTCTCAAACAAATAATAGCTAGAGGGCGAGTCACTAACAATCAACTTAGGTTTTCTTTTCGTGGCCTAGCTTTGTATGTCACACTCACACATGCATGTCTGTGACGGATCCAGATTTTAGAAGTTATCTATATTAACATAGAAGTTAGGGTTCTAATATATTTACAAGTTATGTGTATTAAGGTGGAAGTTTATGTTCGAAAATATGTCTTATACTTATTTTTCATACATATATAATGTTATAACTAAGGGATGATTAGATCTTATGTCACCTCTGACCGGTCAACTTGATCAAGGAAAAGAATTACGCATCAATTGGTTGTGGCTTCGTCTTGAAATTGTGATTTTTTAGGTGCAAGTGTCATTTAGTTGTGACTGATAATGTCCAATGATGTGTTGGTTAATGATATAGTAGACGACTAAAGAAAAGATGTGCAAATTTGACTTAAAATTAAACTTGACATGCCTTGGAAGAGAACAACTATGAGGTTGCCATCTCCAATGCTGATAATCTTTGTCTGGTCGTCCATGTTCTTGGCAAGTTAACTGTGGCTGTATATAAGGACACTCCTCTTCCTCGTATAGCGGTCGGCTGTAATCACGAACCCACCTCCCACTGAACAAGTCGCACCCTTCCTCTGTCTCTCCAATGGCAAATGGCAACTTCTTGTTCTTCTCTACCACCATAATTCCAAACACATGCATAGTCAAATTATATACATTGATGACAATACAAAAACTTTTACGCTATCAGCTCACTCGAAAGGTAATTAATAATAACAGGTGGAATTAGTAGCCTAGAAAATAAGGTAAGTAATTAAAATTGTACTTATTACACTGTGATCATTAGATATAAGGTTATATTCTTTCAACTAAAACTATGTTCATGCATTCAAATCGATAAAACAAAAACTTTGCTGGAAAAAGAAGTGTCGAATATGATGAATGAATTACTCACTGATTCTTGAAACGGAATTGGGAGGACCAGATAGACTAGAATATTCAAGCTGGCTAAAAATGCAGCTAAAATCTTCACTATAAAGAATGGTGACAAAGACAATAAAAGCTAATAAAGTGAATAGAAAAGGAGAAAGACGAGTTTTTCTGAGAATAGAAGGCGAAGAAGAAGAGGAGGGAGGTGGCTTCATTGCTTTGAAGCCTTTGGCAATTGGCAGAGTGACTCTGTTTTTGTGTTTTGTTATGGTTTTAGTTAGGTAGTGTATGGCGTGAATAAATACAAGAAACAATATAGGTTACGTTTGAAAATGGATTCTTTCCAGCAATTAAAAATATTATGATTTGAGGTCTTTATTGAATATGTAACTGTTCTTGTTATTATTGCGTTATCATCATTGTTATATTAGGTTTGAAGGAAAATTGAAAGAGGTAAAGGACACTACCAAGACTGTGGAATAATTTACACTAAGTAACAACATATTTAGTAGTTGGCTTCGTTTCATATATTCAGTTTAATATTATGATTGCACCAAACACATACAAAGGCAGCTATTTCGCAATAAAATAGCTAGCATTCGGTTTAGTGCGAATTAAATCATGTTTTTTTTCTCTTTCTTAATTTCTTAAAGCAAGTCTCATTATTGGTGCTATATTTCTATTTCACAACTATTTAAGTGATGGTCAAATATGGTTAGTAATTTAATAAAAGCACATAGCATAAAAGTATACTAATTAATGCGTAATAGCTAGTGATTTGCTTAACTTGAAGTGAAGGTCAAATTGCTTAGCTCGTTTTACTTTACAGCTGATGGTTTGAGTAACGTGGGAATTTTGATGATAGGATTTCTAAACAGCAATGATTTCCCTTGGCTTCTAAGTTAAGGTTTGATTGTGAAAGATGGGAAATCATTTTCTACACTTTGTATTGTGAATTATATAGCATGGAATGTTTAAAAAATTTGGGAAAGCAAGTAGCAACTAATTAATTGAGACTTGTTTAAAGGGTTTAGTTAGAGAGTGATTAAGCTTCTGGTAACATTTCATATTCATTTTAGTTGGCAAAATCGTCTATCTATACAGCAGTGAGCCCACAGTCTACAAATCCTTCACATGGAGCAGGTGATCCCCGTTGAAAAATCAAGATTAATTTAAGATCTTTTTTCTATTCATCCGATATATATTTGAAGTTCACTGCTCCTAATCTGGATTAGCCCATGGTAGGTCCACTAAGTGGATAAAGACTAGAGGTTTTTCATTCTAGACCTTTGAATAAAGGTGGAAGATTTTAATTATCTCATCAAATTTAATTTTACGTGGTTCTAATATATACCCCATAACAAAAGATGGCAGTCTCCGAAAATTAAAGTTACAGGTCAGACTGACCTACCATCATAATTTACAAATTATACCCCGTCCCAATTGATGCAATTTTGATATCACTATAATACTATGACAGAAACCTCTTTTTACTCTTTAAAGAATCACAACCACGATAGCATGGGTTCTATCTCATTCAATAATCAAAGTAATAGATATGTGCCTTAGGAAAATTTCTTTGATTTGGTAGCCAACTTTGTTGAATTTGTTCGGTTTGGTAGCCAACTTTGTTGAATTATTAACATTGAAGAAAAAGAAGAAAAAGTATGTGCAAATTGTCAAATATAGTAGGCTTTAGAGAGTGAGGCTTCGGCTATAAAAGGAGAGCTTCAACTCTCATTTCCACACACCAACAAAGAAAGAAAGAAAGAAAGAGTGAGGTTTCACAGACAAGATATAAGAAAATAGTCTGTGAGAAAAATAGAGAGTGAGCGATATTGTAGTAAGGTGAGAATATCAAAAGAGTGTTATTTCTTTTGAGTGTTGTAGTTATCTTTGGAGTATTTTAGTCGGACCTACAAAGTGTAAAATTCCTTGCTATAGTGATATCAGTTGCTCGTCTCTGGGCCGTAATTTTTTTCCTTATTCAAAGGGTTTTTCACGTAAAAATTTTGGTGTCGTTGTCACTCTTTTTCTTGCTAATTACCGTATCTCGGTGCTACGTGATTATTCTGCTTTTATTGCTGTAAATATTATTTCTGTATGGGTATTTATTCACAACAACTGGTATCAAAGCATAGGTTCTGCTCGTTCACAGAAATACTATTCACTGTCGGTAGTACTATACTCAGTGAAAAACAAAAATGTCCGGAGTAAAGTATGAGGTAGGAAAATTTAACGGAGATAGTGGTTTCTCAACATGGCAAAGAAGGATGAGAGATCTGCTCATCCAACAAGGATTACACAAGGTACTAGATGTTGATACCAAAATGCCTGATACCATGAAAGCTGAGGATTGGGCTGACTTAGAAGAAAAGGTTGCTAGTGCAATCAGGTTACACTTATCAGATGATGTGGTAAATAATATCATTGATGAAGACACCGCACGTGGTATTTGGGCAAGGTTGGAAAGCCTATACATGTCCAAAACGCTAACAAATAAATTGTACCTGAAGAAGCAGCGATACGCCCTACATATGGGTGAAGGTACGATATTTTTGTCACATTTAAATATGTTTAACGGACTAATCACACAGCTCGCCAATCTCAGAGTGAAAATCGAGGAAGAAGATAAAGCCATCTTGTTGTTAAACTCGTTGCCATCTTCATACGATAATCTGGCAACAACCATCCTGCATAGTAAGACTACCATTGAGTTGAAAGATGTCATATCGGCTCTTTTACTCAATGAGAAGATGAGAAAAAAGCCTGAAAGTCAAGGACATGCTCTCATCACAGAAGGTAGAGGCTGGAGTTATCAAAGGAGTTCGAGCAACTATGGTAGATCCGAAGCTTGTGGAAAGTCTAAGAACCGATCTAAATCAAGAGCTAAAAATTGCTACAATTGTAATCAACCAGGTCACTTCAAAAGATATTGCCCAAATCCAAGGAAGGGCAAAGGTGAAACTAGTGGCCAGAAGAATGACGACAACACAACCGCCATGGTGCAAAACAATGATAATGTTATCCTCTATATAAACGAGGAAGAGGAATGCATGCACTTATCAGGTCCAGAGTCGGAATGGGTGGTTGATACAGTAGCATCTTACCATGCCACACCGGTAAGAGATCTTTTTGTAGATATGTAGCGGGTGATTTCGGCCTTGTGAGAATGGGTAACACAAGTTACTCAAAGATTGCGGGGATTGGTGGCATTTGTATCAAGACAAATGTCGGATGCACATTGGTTCTGAAGGATGTGCAACATGTACCTGATTTTCGGATGAACTTGATATCAGGAATTGCTTAAGTCTGAGATGGATATGAGAACTATTTTGCTAATCAAAAGTGGAGACTCACCAAGGGATCATTTGTGATTGCAAAAGGAGTTGCTCATGGCACGTTGTACAGGGCAAATGCAAAAATATGCCAAGGTGAATTGAATGCGGCACAAGATGAGATTTCTGCAGATTTGTGGCACAAAAGAATAGGTCATATGAGCGAGAAGGGATTGCAAATTCTTGCCAAGAAATCACTCATTTCTTATTCCAAAGGTACAACTGTAAAACCCTGTGACTACTGTTTATTTGGTAAGCAGCATAGAGTCTTATTTCAGACATCGTCTGAAAGAAAATTGAATATAGTTGATTTGGTATATTCTGATGTTTGTGATCCAATGAAAATTGAATCGATGGGCGGTAACAAATATTTTGTTACTTTTATTGATGATGCTTCACGAAAATTATGGGTTTATATTTTGAAAACCAAAGATCAGGTGTTTCAAGTTTTCCAGAAGTTTCATGCTATGGTGGAAAGGAAGATAGGCCAAAAGCTAAAGCATCTCCAAAGTGACAATGGAGGTGAGTACACTTTAAGGGAATTTGAAGAGTAATGTTCGAACCATGGGATCAGACATGAAAAGACAATTCCTGGAACCCCACAACACAATGGTGTAGCCGAAAGGATGAACCGTAACATTGTGGAGAAGGTGAGAAGCATGCTCAGAATGGCTAAATAGCCTAAGTGATTCTGGGGTGAAGCAGCTCAGACAGCCTGTTACCTGATCAATAGGAGTCCATCAGTTCCGTTGGTGTTTGACATCCCAGAGAGAGTTTGGACCAACAAGGAGGTGCCCTACTCGCATGTGAAGGTGTTCGGTTGCAAAGCTTTTGCACATATACCAAAGGAGCAGAGAACAAAGCTGGATGATAAATCTGTTCCTTGCATATTCATCGGATATGGAGATGAAGAATTCGGATACAGATTGTGGTATCCCGTAAAGAAGAAGGTCATCAGAAGCAGAGATGTAGTCTTCCGAGAAAGTAAAGTTGGAACTGCTGACGATATGTCAGAGAAGGCCAAGAATGGTATTATCCCTAACCTTGTTACTATTCCTTCTACTTCTAACAATCCCACAAGTGCAGAAAGTACGACCGACGAGGTTGCCGAGTAGGGGGAGCAATTTGGTGAGGTTATTGAGCAGGGTGAGCAACTTTAAACAACTGAAGCAGAGTACATTGCCGCTACAGAAACTAGCAAGGAGATGGTATGGCTCAAGCAGTTTCTTCAAGAGCTGGAATTGCATCAAAAGGAGTATGTCGTCTATTGTGACAGTCAAAGTGCAATAGAATTGAGCAAGAACTCCATGTACCATGCAATAACAAAGCATATAGATGTGAGATATCATTGGATTCATGAGCAGGTGGAGAACGAATCTTTACAGGTCAAAAAGATTCACACGAGTGAAAATCCTGCTGATATGTTGACCAAGGTGGTACCAAGAGACAAGTTCGAGATATGCAAAGAACTTGTCGGCATGCACTCAAACTAGAAGATAGTGCTACCTCCTCTAGATGAATGAGACTGGAAGGGGAGATTGATGGGTTCCATCTCATTCAATAGCCAAAGTAATAGGCATATGCCTAAGGAAAATTTTTTTGGTTTGGTAGCCAACTTTGTTGAATTTCTTTGGGTTGGTAGCCAACTTTGTTAAATTGTCAACATTGAAGAAAAAGAAGGAAAAGTGTGTGCAAATTATCAAATATAATAGGCTTTAGAGAGTGAGGCTTCGGCTATAAAGGGAGAGCTTCAACTCTCATTTCCACACACCAACAAAGAGAGAAAGAAAGAGTGAGGTTTCACAGACAAGGTATAAGAAAATAGTCTGTGAGAAAAATAGAGAGTGAGCGATATTGTAGTAAGGTGAGAATATCAAAAGAGGGTTATTTCTTTTGAGTGTTGTAGTGATCTTTGGAGTATTTTACTCGGACCTACAAAGTGTAAAATTCCTTGCTATAGTGATATCAATTGCTCGT